ACACTTAAAGAGGTCTTGTGCAGCAGATATGCCTAACGCAATACATTGTTGGATTTCTTGACTATTGCTTCCGTGAGTGTTGATTGTGGAACCAAGCAAAATGAAATCTTTGACAAATTCAATCTTTTCTCACTCTATTATGATGCTATTTATTGGTTCAGTGGTCAAGATTTTTGTTTTCTTTACACTTAGGTGTATGCAATCCATCCTGAAGGTTGCTGTCTTGATCTTCATCAGTAAGTATTTTAAAAACTCTTCACGTTGTATCATCTGCATATCACAGCTTGTTAATGAGTCTTCCTTCAATCCTAATGCCATACTCTTCTTCATATAGTCTAGTTTATCAGATTATTTGCTCAGCATACAGATTTACTAAGTATGGAGAAAGAATCCAACCCTGACACAAACCTTTCCTGATTTTAAACCATTCGGTATACCCCTATTCTGTTCAAATGACTACCTCTTGGTCTATGTACAGGTTCATCATGAACACAGTCAAGTGTTCTGGAATGCTTATTCTTCACAATGTTATCCATAGCTTGTCATGATGCACACAGTCAAAAGCCTTTGCATATTCAATAAAACACAAGCAAACATCTTTCTGGTATTCTCTAATTTCAGCCAAGATCCAGGTGATGTCAGCAATGATATCCCTAGTTCCACATCCTCTTCTGAATCCAGCTTGAATTTCAGGCAATTCCCTGTTGCAGTAGTTTTTAAAATTATCTTCAGCAAAATTTTACCTGCATGTGATACTAATGATAGTGTTAGATGATTTCAGCATTCTGTTGGGTCACCTCTCTGGAATGGGCACAAGTATGGATCTCTTCCAACTGGTTGACCAGGTAGTTGTGTTCCAAATTTCTTGGCATAGATGAGTGAGTGCCTCCAGTGTTGCATGTTTGCTGAAAGGTTTCAATTTGTATTCCATCAATTCCTGGAGTCTTGTTTTTCTCCGACACCTTCAGTACAGGTTGGACTTTATCCTTCAGTGCCATCAGTTCTTGATTATATGCAACTTTTTGAAATGGTTGACTATCGACCTTTTTTTTTTTTTTTCATATACAGTGATTCTGTGTGTACCATCCATCTTCTTTTGATTCTTTCTGCATTATTCAACATTTTACCCATAGAATCCTTCAGTATTGAAACTGAGGCTTCATGTTTTTTCTTCAGTTCTTTCAGCTTGAGAAATACTGAGTGTGTTCCAATTTATTTTTGGCAATTTCCCATTTTTCTACATTCATACTTTGTACATTCCATATTCCAACTATTACTGGGTGTTTGGAGGTAGCTCTTCCCCAGTCACGTTTTGAGTGCCTTCCAACCTGAGGGGCTCTTTTTTTGATACTATAGCTGACAATAATCTGATGCTATTGATAATGTTATCATCTGCAGGCCCTATATCTGGCAGTGTTCAGTTGCTATTCATAAGGTTTTCAGTGACTCACCATTCAGAGGTAGGCCACCTCTCTTTCTTCCTAGTCTGTCTTTGTCTGGAAGCTCAGCTGAAACCTGTCCATCATGGGTGACCCTGCTGGTATTTAAAATACTGGTGCATAGTTTCCAGCATACAACATACAAACAACCGCAGTACAACAAACTGACAGACGAGTGGCTAGCTCATAGCAATATAAATCGCTGACATGGTAAGTAGTTGAAATAAACTTTATTTATGTGGTTATGACCTGTTCCAAGTTTTATCCCCTAAAAAATATACCTAAAATGACAAATTTTAAGGATTTTTTTAAATAAAAAGGAAAATGGATATTGTGGCAGAATGTATTTTCCTTAATGAGTGTAATAATAGTTCTCATTCTACATCTTCTTCCAAAGTCACTTTAACATCCTTCCCAGTGTGAGGTGTGGTTTATGGCCCATCCTCTCAAATGTGGCAGTTTTGTGATGGCTTTAACAAACAAGAGTATGGAAGGCAGTGCAGCTCCTGTCTTGTTCCTCCACAGCCTTCCGATAGCGTCCTAAACTGTGAGAAAATGCATTTTTGTTGTTAAGCCTGTGTTTCTGTTATAGTAGCACTAGACAACTAAGACAAAATTTGGTACCAGAAGAGTGGGTTGATGCTCTAACAAAAGTATACAATGTGAAAGTGGTTTGGGAAGTGGGTAAATTGGTGGAGGCTGGAAGAGTTTAAGGTGCCTAATAGATAGCCTTGGAGAGACTACTGGTAAGTATTACAGACATCAAAGGCAGTTCTGGTGAGGGCTCAGAAGGAAGTGAGAAGAGCTATAGAGAAAGTTGCTAATGTCTTAGAGAATACATACAGTGCCAGCAACAGAATGCTGCTAGAAATATGAATATTAAATGTGCTTCTGGTGGGGTTTTAAAAGGAAACAATGAACATGCGATTTAACAATGGAGGAAGGCAATGTTTTAATGTAGTGGCAAAGAACTTGTCTGAATTATGTTTTAATGTTTTCTGGCAGGTAGAACTTGTAAGTGAACTAGGGTATCAGGCTGGTGAGCTTTCTAAGCAAGATTTTAAAGGGTTTCTCCTTGACGCTTATAGTAAAATGCCATAGGAGAGAGATGGATTTAATGATGAACTGTGCAAAATGAAGATAGAACTTAAAGATTTGGAAAAACTAAGAACACATGTCTTAGCATGCTCACCAAGGACAACGCTACACAATCTTTTGTTAAAAAGATTAAGCCTGTGATTGATGGATCTTATCAACTACTACAGCAGAAAACCCATCAGCTTAGACCATGAAAGAATGAAAGGGTAAAACATTGTCTGCCTCTTGCAATTCTACAGACAGGAAACAGGTGTTTGTTGTCGTCCAAGAAAAGAAAGAACCAACCCTGAACAGCTTGGAGATCAGCAGAAGGAGGGTCAGTAGGAAGGAACATGGGAAATAAGGACTTCTAGGTCTTAAGGGAGGGGGAAGGTCATGGCCCCTCAGGGATTTCTGGTGTGGTTCTGTGGGTTAATGCGCTGGACTGCAAAGTTGGTTTGAACGACAAGGTTGGAGGTTCAATCTCACCAGTTGCTCCTTGGAAACACCATACAGGGTCGCTATGGCACTGTGGGTTAATGCGTCAGACTGCAAAGCCGTTTGAACTACAAAGTCGGCAATTCAAGCTCACCAGCTGCTCCTTGGAAACCCTATACAGGGTTGCTATCGGTGGGTCGGAATGGACTTGATGTCACTGAACAACAACTATGGGTCGGAGGGAACCTACTCAATGGCACTTAACAACAACAACAAGGATATCAAAGGAGTCCCAGTGTGATGTTGTGTATTAATGTCCTGGACTGTAAAATAGGTTAGAACCAGCTGCTCTTCAGAAACTCTATACAGGGACAGGAAAGAAGGGCTAATAGAAATCAGAAACACAGGGAGGAAGTGGGATGAGTTGTATTACATTATGATGATTCAGCCAATGGCATGAAACAAAATGCACATGAATTGTTGAATGGAAACATCTTCTGTAAACTTTCATTCAAATCACAATAAGAAGTTAAAATAAAAAACAAAACCGAAAGAGTTCTTATCCATGGTTCCTAGTCATTGTTGTTAAATTTCAACTCAAAGAGCCTCCATAGTGTGGTGGATTAGGAACAGGGCTGCAAACTGCAAAGTTGGCAATTTGAATCTGACAGCGTCTGCATAAAAGAATGATGAGGCTTTCTGCTCTTGTAAAGATCTACAGGCTCAGAAATCCTATTAAGGGTCACTGTGAATCAAACCAACTTGGTGGCACACAACCAGGCTTTAAATCTTTCAGCGGGAGCAGAAAAGCCTCATGTTTCTCCAGTGGAGCAGCTAGCTGGTGGCCTAGAACCAAAAGGTTCACACTCCAGTGCTTATTCTATGGTTATGGATATCAGTCAATATGTCAAAGCCATTTACCATGTTCTTCATTTATTAAAAAGAGCCCAGTTTTCAGAAAGTCAAACCAAGAAATCTTATCGTTTGTCCTTCTCATTTCTCCCGATCTTTCTCTGAATGCTGTATACCTTCCTTTCTCCCATTTAGTGTCTTTTCCTTTACCATTTCTTCGAGTTTACTTGGTAATCCGTTTCTCAACCTTTTGTATTAACCTCTGACAGTTGCTCCCTCCTCAGTACTTCATTTCTCCAAGTAATCCGCCAGCCTAGGGTTATGATGTATACGTTTTAGATGTTGTTGTTGTTGTTGTTATGTGCCGTTGAGTCGATTCCGAAGCGACCCTATACAGGGTTTCCGAGGCTGTACATCTTTACAGGAGCAGAACGCCTCATCTTTCTCCCGCAGAACAGCTGGTAGTTTCGAACTGCTGACCCTGAGGTTAGCAGCCCGATTGGTAACCACTACGCTACCAGAGCTCCTTACAGGAGACTCATAAAAGGGCCCATGAAACCTTGCACCAGATTCCTAAATGCCATTTTCCTTAAATGTTTAATCTACACCCAAGGTCTGAGTGGGGAGCGGGGAAGACTGGGCTCCGTGCCCGGCTGGCAGCGACTTATAATTATAAGCCTGTAGGCAGTCCTTGCTGACTAGATCTAATAGAACCCGTAGCAATAGTACAGCAAGAGATGCCCGGAAGGTGCCCTGAGCTGGTCCACTGCAGGAAGACTCAAATCCTGTGCATCTCCCACGCTCTCCGCGGAAGTCACGCTCCACCAAGATGGCGCCGTCCCCGCGGCGAGCTGGCCGTGGGGGCGGGGCCGCGCGCGTGTCACTCACACACAAACACAAACACACGCGCGCGCACACACCCGTACACACGCGCGCGCACACACACACACAAACACACAGAGGCTGCGCGCACCCCTCTGCCGGAGGCTGCCGCTGGGAGCCTTGCAGCGGCGCAGACTGCATCCCTTCTCCGCTAGGGGCGTCTTCCCCTGTCCCCACAGCGGTGAAGCATTCTCTTAGCCTCGGAGAGCTAGAGCGGGGTCAAGAAAGGAGACGTCAGTGCACTGGCAGAGGGTCTGCGGAGTGGGATCCACTGCAGTCAGCACCGTGACCAGAGATCCGAGCTGCAGCGAGCCTGGTAGACAGCCAGGCAGGGAGAACGAGGCTTTTGGGGGAGACTCTGGGCGTTCCGCCCAGGCCATGGGCGCCGTCGGGGACTTGGGGGTCCCCTGCCAGCTTCTACTACTTGACTTGGGCATGCTACAGGTTTTCCATGGTTATCCAGTCTCGCAGCCAGCGGGATAGGAAAATAGCTCCTGCCAAATGTCCTCTCCCCTTTAACGAGAGGGGCTGAGCCCATTAGCCCGAGGGGACGAAAGGGATGCACTGTCCTGCTAGGGGCGGAAGGAGCCAGGGCTAAAGTGGGGGGCGGGAGCGGAGAGCGCCCTCCTTGACCATCCAATGCCTCCTCCTGTGTTTTCATGCCTTCTAAGTGGGCTTGGCTGCACTGACCCCCGGGAGGAGGGACAGACGACGCTCGGCGGGCTCTGACCGTGCAGCTTTCATGTGGCTGCTGACGGGCTGCAGCCTCGCCTCCCTCTCTCCCCGCCTCCTAGGCGTCGGGGTTGGAGATGTGGAGACGTGAGGGGACCCGCCGGCTGCCCCGGCTTCACCAGAACTCCACCAGGCTCCCGCGCGTCTCTCGGAGTTACGGGGAGGAGAGGCTCCGCGCGGGGCTCCCAGGCGGGCGGGCAGCAAGCGGAGCCGGAGCCCTAGCCTCGCCATGGGGCACAACGGGAGCTGGGTTTTCCCGAACGCCAGCGAACCGCGCAACGCGTCGGGCGCGGAGGCGGCGGGCGCGAACCGCAGCGCGCCCGGGGAGTTTGGCGAGGCGCAGCTGTACCGACAGTTCACCACCACTGTGCAGATTGTCATCTTCGTCGGCTCGCTGCTCGGTAAGTCACCTGCGGGGGCGCCTCCCAGGCAGGAGTCCTCGAGGAGCGTGAGGATCCGCGGTCACGGAAGCAGCGGTGGGTTTCTGGTTACTTGGCAAAATGTAGATAGTTGAAGGAGGTTTGGGAATCCCGGGGGTACCGCGGTGAAGTTAAGCAGGACGGTCGAGTCCAGCTTCTAAGGTGGAAGCAGAGCAGTTCGATAGGACTTCTGTGGGCTCGAGGGTGGGTGCTTGGCCCAGGCGGAGAGCACCCACACCAGGTGGATCTTGGCGGAACGCTTCGGGATGCTTGCAAGGTTTGCACGCAAGGTCTGCACATCATTCATTACCTCTCAGGTGCCAGAGTGGAGCACTTGTTTACAAATAGTGAGACACAAAAGCTTCGGTGGGAATTTGTTGCTGATGATTGAAATGCATGTTACTCGCATTGTTAAAGATGTGGTTTGCACTGCCATTTATTCCTTTCATATAAAATGATATTGAAAAAACTCTGTTTTATGATTTGTTTCTTTGGAACACCAACCTGTTGGCAAACAACCCTGTGGGATTAAACTCTGTATTGCCTTGAGATGTTTTTTAAGTCCCAACACAAAACAAAACCCACTTGACTCCACTTTGTGTTTTATTTGAAGTACAGAATAAAGACAGGATTAAAACATACGCACACTCGCGCGCACACACACACACATTTGCAAACTCGTGGTTCAGGAAGGAAGATCAACGAACTGAAACGAGAAACTAGTGAAAACGTCTTTCTGAGAATTATGGGTACTCCAGGTAGCTATTCTTTAAACAATATATAATACAGTCACTATTCAACTACACTGAGATTTGTTTTACATGCTTCATGTTACTTATATATTTGCAGCTTCCCTTTAAATGTAAATTCTCTGCTCTAGGATGTAAACAGATTAATTATGATTATACGTGATATGCTAGACCAAGAGTAGTCTTAAAGTTTCAACGTCGAAATGAGTAATTTTTGTAGATATTTGTGAATTACTATGGAAACCAAGATTACAGACATCAAAAAGGCTATATTTGGAAGAATTCTAAGTGTTTGGAATTCCCCTTGCTATTTCTCTATTGTATCATACGACCCCACTCTTTCATAATATTTGTCTACTGTTTTTCATTATGAAGGCATTTTCGGGAACAGACAGCAATGTGGCTGTGTCTAGGGGTGTCTGTGTGTATTTAAAGTTGTGTTTTTATGAGTGGATTGTTAAATACACATTAACAAAGCAAGAGTTTATGTTCCAAAGGCTTTCAGTACTCACTTAAAAAACACTTACTGAGCACCTACTACCTACCAGGTGCAAAGCCTTGTAGGTTGTACATTGGGAGTTAAATGCTAGTAAACTCGTCCCTGGCTTACATGGAATTCTACTCTGATGAGTCTGTTCTGACATAAGTGGAATACCTTTTTTTTTTAAAGTTTTCATTTCTATTGTCTTTTATTATCAGTATCTTTATAAATTCAATCTTTGGAGCTATGAGAGTAATAATACCAGCAAATGATGTGCTGCATTATTATGTGTAGTATGTATTGCCATTGATAAAATGTACAAAAAAGAAAAACACACACAAAAGGACTAGTCTTAAGTGTCATTTGTAGTCATTTGGGACTATCTGTATTGTCTGTCACATGTTGTATATATAACAACAACAACGATATACATGAAAATACTGTAACACTTTGTAAACTGGAATAAATTAGGTCTTGCTATTTGTTTTTATATTTTAAACAAAGTTTTAATGACGTTATACTAGAACTTAAGCTATTCAATTCTGCTATTGTTAAATGCCATTAAGTCAGTTCCATCTCATAGCAACCCTATATAGGATTTCCAAGGAGCAGTTGGTGGGTTTGAATTGCCAACCTTGCAGTTAGCAGTCCAGTGTTTATCCTAGTGTGTCACATCAGAACCCCTGTTCACTTGTAGTCCTAAGGAAATAGAAGAATTTTTCCTGTCCCAACTAAGTCTTGCATAAGGTGCTAGAACTAATACTGAAATAAAATTCCAAAAACTGGGCCATAAGGACAAGACTCTTAGAGAAGGGATCATACTTGACCAAAAAAAAAAAAAGAAACTAATAAACAAAAATATAAAACAAGCCAAGGACAGAGACTTCAGATGCTGGGATAGGGCAAAAAGAACCTTGGTCTTTTTGTGTGATATAAAACTTTTCCTTCTTTGGAGCAGATATAATCTGTTCGATATGATACCCTGTGCTCCTGTTTAGAGTAAAATTAAAATGGAAAATTAATTTCCTTAGGTGCACTATACACTTTTCAAGTGTTCATTTCAGCACGAATGTCATATTGGACTATGCTGATAATTTTTCATCATTGCAGAAAGTTCTAGTAGATGGTGCTGATCTAGGTTCTAGACTTTAAGAGCTTTCTGACTGGGTGCTAATCTTTTAGCTTAGTTTTTACGTCTTTTTCTGGGAGGGGGAAAAAAGCCATAACATTCCCTAAGAATTTGTAATGACTTTAGATATACTTAAGGAGCCCTGGTGGTGCTGTAGGATAAGCAGTGGACTGCTAACTGAAAGGTCAGCAGTTCAAACGCACCAGCTACTCTGCAGGAGAAAGATGAAGCTTTCTGGTTCTGTAAAGATGCACAGCCTTGGAAACCCTATACAGGGTTTGTGTGAGTTGCAATCAGCTTGATGGCAGAGGATGGGTGGGTGAGAGGCACTTAGAATTATCAACCACTTCTGCAACTAGACTCATCCTCCACTGGTGTCCCTGGTATAGTGCAAACAGTTAAGGGCTTGACTGCGAGTTGAAAAGTTGGTGATTCCAACCCACCCAGAGGGGCCTTGGGAGACAGGCCTGATGCTCGGCAGCTGAAAGATCACAGCCTTGAAAACCCAATGGAGCTGCTCTACTTGGCATACATAGGGTTACCATGAACTCGAATTGACTTGGTGGCAATCACCACCATCAACAGCTAACATGAATAGGCTGTATGTGACAAGCGTTGTTCTAAGTGCTTTAACCTAACTGCTCATTGAATCCCAAGAAACCTATGAGGTTATATTACACCTATGTTATTATCTCTGTTTTAAATAGAATCTGTGTGAGGTACAGAGATGTTAAGTAACGTGTCTAAGGTCACCAAATAAGTCATTAGCTGAATTGAAATGTATATTCACAGCATCTTGCTGGAGAGGCTATACACATGTTTTTTGGGGGTTGATTTATGCTGTTGTTTGATGTTCTCACAATGTAGAGTTTATTGTTACTCTTTAGAAACAATTAAATTTCTTTATTTCTGGACTAATTTCATAACCACCTGGCAAGATGGGCTGTTGAATTCTTCAAAGTAGTGAAGAATTTATACTGTAGATTTTATACTGACCTTTGCAAGCCAAACTACTGGCAGTCAGCAGCACATGTGCGTGTACACTGACTAATGTTGTAGCCTACTCACTTGAAGGGGTGCAGCTACAGCTACACCAGGACCAAAGTCAGAAACAGAACTGGAACACTGGTATGGCATGATTTCATTATGAACAGGGATTGGGCAGGTAACTTCAACCCTGAACAAAGATATTATTGGGAGAAGTTTTCCAATAGTTTGACTCTAAATACTTGAGTACTATTGAAATAGAGTATTCCTGGTATGGTGCTGTAGGATCAACACTGAACTGCGAACCACAAGGTTGGCTATTCAAATCTATCAACTGCTGAACACTTGAAAACCCTGTTCAGGGTCACTATGAGTCAGAATTGACTTGATGGTGCTTAACAACATCAATAACGTTGAAATAGAAAGGAACCCTGGTGGCACAGTGGGTTAAGCATTAGACTCATAACCGCAATGTCAGTGGTTAAAACCTACCAGCTGTTTCTGGGGAGAAAGGTGAGGCTGTCTGGTCCTGTAAAGATTTACAATCTGGAAACCCTAGGGGGAGTAGTTGTAGTCTGTCTGATAGGTTGCTACAAGTCAGGATTGACCCCATAGCAGTGGGCTTTTGGGTACTGAAATAGAACACAAAGCATGCATGTAAAGTGCAGAGCAAATCATAAACAACAGATATTAGTTTTGCTTTTCTTGTCTTGTCTGTTCTTGTTGTGCATCGGATTTCTAGGTAAATCTGCATTTATTTCAACTCATTTTCACATCACACTTTAAGTGACAAAAGCTGTTTAGCTTTTGTGGATGTCTCCAAAAAGATGATTCGTTTTTCCCTTGATCTTTGGTTATACCTGATTGGAGCTAGAGGATATTACTTGTTTCTCCTAAGAGAGAATTCCATTTATTCATTTTTATTCTAAGAAAAGACATAAATATGGATACATTTCTAGAAATTAACTCTGAAAACTTGTGCAAAAGTGAAAAGCATTTCTGACTTCATTGAAAGCTTAGCTGAATCATGACATTGTCATGTACACTTGTTATTTACAAGCATTCTTGATTCACTGTCCTTTAAGGATTTACCACGTACAGATGTATCTCTGTACAATGAATTCTCTTGGTAATGCTGGTTAAGGCTCAGAGCTTAAGTTCCAAAGCTTTGTGAAGTCATTTTCAGGGCTAGAAGTAAACTTGGGAAGCATTGTGTCATGAAGCCTAAGACTAGAGAAAAATCACAGTTTAGTAATAAAGGAAAAGGGATAATTGATTACTTCATTATTGACATGTAAATTTCTCATATAGCTCTGGTAGTGTAGTGGTTACGAATCAGGCTGCGAACCTTAAGGTCAGCGGTTCGAAACTACCAGCTGCACCGCGGGAGAAAGATGAGGCTTTCTACTCCCATAAAGATTTACACCCTCGGAAGCCCTATACAGGGTCGCTATGGGTCAGAACCGACTCGATGGCACATAACAACATTCTAGATAGTATAAGGAGCTCTGGTAGCATAGTGGTTATGAATCGGGCTGTGAACCGCAAGGTCAGCAGTTCGAAACTACCAGCTGCTCCGTGGGAGAAAGATGAGGCATTCTGCGCCCGTAAAGATTTACAGCCTCAGAAACCCTGT